GTCTGATTCAAAGCTGTGCAATTCCTCCCCAAACCCAAGGCACACATGAAATGAAGAAACAACAGGGAAAAGGCCACATGTCTCAATAATTACAATAATATGGTCTGTTATTCCCTTGCTTTCTGGCTCTGTGTTTGAGATTCAGTGTTAATGTGCTTGTATAACGAAAGGTGTTTCCTCTGCTTGTTTATACTAGGTATGATTTCTAAACGTCCTTGAAATTATTGGCCATAACATCTCTCCTCATAATGATATTACTTCAACTTGAGCCACTTATGGAAAGTACTTCTTTCTATTTTTGAACAGAAATGACAGAGAGCCAGAAAAATATGTATTTGTTTGCCTTTCTATTTTTGGTTTGAAATTGCTGGAAGCCAGTAGGTGGGTTTTTATTTTATGTAGGAAGATTTTATTTTCAAACTAAACCAAATATTATGTATGAGGAGTGGCACATAAATAATCGGTTCTAGTAAAAGGAAAAAGTTCTTGTCAGAAATTCTTCTGAAGTATGGCTCTATTTCTGGAAATCCTTTCTTGCTTGCTTCAGCAGAGTCTTGTATCCTCTTCCATTTCCCTCAATGATTCTTTCACATGCAGAGGGGTGAGTTTTATAGGAACTTTGCTGGCACCAAAACATTGGTATGTTTTCCTTCGTTTTGTACACTGCACCAATTCATCATCTGTCCATTCTACCAACCAAAGGAAAATCATGTAGGGAGTTGACTAGTGCTTGTGTTAACAAAATTAAATCACCTGATCTGTCACCTAAATGGATAACCACTAACTTGGTATATCTTTGGAAAATAAACTCTAGTGTCTACTCTTGGACTACACAGATTTTGGTCTAGAGGAAGGAAAATTACAATCCATTATGAGGTCTCATCCCATTCAGGAGAACCAGAAGGTTTCCTAATTTGCATTCCCAGAAAACATTGGGAATAACTCAACCAAAACAGCAATCAAAATCCTATAGATTTCTTTAAGATTAAAAAACAAAATGAACAAAAATAATTCATCCCCATTGTTATTTATTCTCTCTGCATTTACCCTAAAAAACCCAACCCCACCCAACTCCAAAAACCATTGCAACCAAGAAAAAAGCAACCCCCCCCGTCACACCCATGAGTTTTATTCTGTTTATTTCATAGAAGAGATTGGATAGTTTTGAGTTAGTGTTACTTACCATTTGTTGACTTCTAAATCTGCAAAATCAGTTCACATAACGTAGTATTATCTTTGGAAAAGTGGTTTTTTTTGGGTTGGAGGATAGAGTTGGCATGATTTATGTTATATGAAATATAACACAAAGCTGAAGTACACAAAACTTTCTCTTTTTACAGCTTTTCCACTAAGCTTTGAAGCCATTCATGGAAACTGATGGCAATGTTCTCGTAAGTATAATTGAAGTTATGTCAGAGTTATTGATCGGCTGAAGAGGTCGTATCTTGGGATTGTATCCTTGTAATCATAGAGGACTATGTGCAGAATAACAGAATAGCATATGTGAACAGCATCAATATCCAAACAAGATCTTGCTTATAGGCCAGGCCAAGTGGTGAGGTTACCCCAGTTCTGTTCTAAGGATGAAATTAAATCTACTGCATGTGCCTGATGCCAGGGGTGCCCTCTCTTCCAAGTCCTACCCTTCAATGGATGAGAAAACAGTAACATAAGATGCGAGCTTAACAAAGGATTTTCTTAGCCACACATCTGTCTAGCCCCTAGGAAGCTCAAGAAAAGTATAGCTCTGTAGAATATAACTGTAGATCCTAGCTGCCTTTGGTGCCTTCTCAGATTCATGCACTGTGAGTTGAATTTCATGTGACATGGTGTTCACTGTTAGCCCAATGCCCCTGCTTTAGAACCAATTTTTTTTGTTTCCTTTGAAACAGCTTTGTATACATATTTCACCCCATTTTTTTCTCCTGGGGACTTTGCATGTTGCGAGCCCTTCAGTCTCCAGGCAGATGCATCCCTTGGTGTGATCCTTGGCTGTTCCTGGCAGCTGTCCCAGATCCAAGACACCTACAGCTTTTGACACAGCTCCCCATGATTAGGAAGGGTCAATTACCCTTTAACTGGTGGTAGGGAGGAACCTACCCTGAGTGCAGCCAACAGACCCACCAGTCTGTGCAGCAGGGCATGAAGAAAGAGCGAAATAAGGGGGGCTCAATTGAAACTGTGTTGCATTCAGGCATGGTGGTAACAGGGCAGCTTCCCCCGGTAGATGTAGGAACAGCTGTCCCTCCTGGGGCAGAGGCTTCCACACAGACTGTTTTTTTTGAGGGGGTTTGCGGCCCTCCAAGTCCCAGATTGCAGGAGGTGTCAGGACCTCTCCTTGAGGCCAGGAGAGATGGCCCTCTGTCTTGAGGGAGCTGTACCATCTTGGAGGAGCTGTGCTGGCAAGTGAAGGAGACAAAGGAGGAAGTGTGCAGACTGTGCAGCATCACAGTAAATGAAATGGAGAGAGATAGGGTCTTCTCTGAGACAAAATAGCTTGACGACCATCAGTTCCCACCTGCAATTGAGAAGTAGGCACTATCTACCCCCACTCTCAACGTAAGCAAAACTTCTGCAGAAGGGGAAGGATGGAAGTTGGTTATTTCTTGTATCAAGACAAAGGCTCCTACCCCTCCTAAGAACTTGCAACTGCAAAATATGTTGACTGCCCTCATAATTGAAGTGAAGCCAGATGTGCCTACTAGCAAAGGACCTAGTTTACATAACTGTAAACCATGCAAGGCTACCAAGAAGAAATGGTGAGATACTGCAATGGGGGAGTCCCTGCTGTTAGAGACAGAGGCATCCCTCTGTAGGCCCTGACCAACCATCTAGAGGGGTTTGCTGCCTGGTGGGGGCCAGGATCCAGGATCTTGTGGAGAGACTGACAAAGCCCATCCAGCTTCTATGAGACTTCTATCCCATATTGTTATTCCATTTGAGCACAAACAATACATGCTGGGGGCCATAGAGCTGAAAAGTAGCTTTGCAGAAAAGGACCAGGGAGTCTTGGTGAACATCATGTTGAATATGAGCCAGAAACGTGCCCATGCTGCAATGAAGGCAAATGGTATCTTTGGCTGCATTACACAAAGTATTGCCAGCAGGTGAAGGGAGGTGATAATTTATTTTGTGCTGGTGAGCCTGCCCCTGGAATACTGTGTCCATTTCTGGACTTCTCAGTTCAAGAGAGACATGGATGTACCAGTGAGGCCCAAGGACAATTAAGGGACTGTAGCATCTACAGTACAAGGGAAGACTGAGTGAACTGGGACTGTTATCTTGGAGAACAGGCTCAGGGGGATCTTATCAATGTGTAAATACTTGAAGGGAGAGCGCGAAGAAAAGGACATGGTGGTCATGCCAGGTTGACAGTTGGACTTGATGATCTGAAATGTCTTTTCCAACCTTAAGAATTCTATCATTCTTTTCAGTGGTGCCCAGTGACAGGACTAGAAGTGATGGGCACAAACTGAAACACAGGAGGTCTCCTCTGAACAGTTCTTTACTGTGAGAATGACTGAGCACTGTCACAGGTTGTCAAGAGAGACTGTGGAGTCTCCACCTGTGGTGATATACAAAAGCTGTCTGGATATGGTCCTGGAAAACCAGTTGTAGGTGTGGGGTGAACTTAGATGACCTCCTGAAGTCCATTCAAGCTCAATCATACTGTGATTCTGTGGAAAAATAGGACCTCTAAACTGACAGAAGTCTTTGCTGAAGTTGTTATCTTTTCTCATGCTTTTGCTAATCACTGGAGCCTGCCTGGCCCAGAAGTGGCTGTGAATAATGTGCAGTAGTACAGGTTCCTTTGTAATTGGCTCACGGGTGTATTTGCCAAGTGGAGGAGTAATGTATAGCAAGCTTGAAGTCTCTCTTGTTCTACAGGATCACTATCCCATCCTGTTCAGCCCTCAGTAAACCCAAACCTACCAAAAAAGATTGAACCTGTTCTCTACTGCCAGTCTTGCACAAAAATGTATGTTTTTCAATTATTCAAGAACTTTCTGAGAATTATTGCTCTTAGATTTCCCCTGGTAACTAGAAAAGATAGAAATAGATCTGCTGTTCTTGGTTTGTTTTCAGTTGAACCTGTGATAATGAAATAAATAATTTCCCATTTTGAGCTTTATAGAAAAACATCTACCATTGTCAGAAGCAAAACCATTAGTTTCAGATTGTTCCAGTGACTATGTCTGCCACTTAGAGTACATTCATATCTAAAACAGCTGTTATGCCCCTGGTACCACTGGTTTTATTGGTAGCAACTCTGCCATAAACAGTTTTCTCTCTGTTCTGCACTGGTAAGAATGTCTATAAGAGTGAAACTTAAAAGTATCTCTTAATCAATATTCAACCTGGGTTCACTGAAACAATAGATTATTAACTTTTATAAACCAGTTTTCAGAGGAGGAAAACTTTAATTTACTTCTTGAGGAAAGGTTTGCCACTGGAGACTTGCTAATGTGTTGTATTCTCATGAAAAATTGAATCCAAACTCTGCTGGTGAGGCATTTTATGAATTTTGTGGTAGATTCATTTAAATGCAGGTTTCCTATTGGTTTGAGATGAAAATAGTTAAACAGTTAAAACTGTTTGTTTATTTCATAAAATATTTTTCTGACTCCAAACACTGTGCTTTGGAGAAAGAGGTTGTTTTTATTTGTTTATAAATCAACAATATTTGGGAAGGCAATTTTGTGAATCGTGCCAGATTTTATTACTGCAGTTGGGGATAAAAGCTTTCTCTTGTGCAGAGCAAAACATCTATTTTTTATAGGATGAAGCTGGGTTTCTGAACAACACTAAGACACATTTAAAAGTTGCCAAATTCCAGGTTTAGTATTAATTAGTTGAATATTTACTTCAGTTTTCAGGAATATTGGGAAAGACAACTGGAAATGTATCTTAATTCAAAAATTTTCATTCAATAGTGATTTTGTTACAGATTTATTACTAATTTTATTAAGACAAACTAAATACAGTGCTGACTGAAGAAAATTCCCTTTCTTCCACCATTAATTTCCCAAATCTTCCCACAAAATAGGAAGAAAAGTGGGTTCATCACCCCTATCCACTTTCAGCAGGATATCATCATTGCCACTGAATAATAAATGCAAATTTGTAAATTCTTTTACCAAGCCCAAGTTCTTACTAGGTAATCAGTTTTTTCCTCAGTCTGATATAAATGGGGCTCTAACAGATGATTTACATAATACGGGTATTTAACTCTTTCTTGACAGGTGACCTATAGACCATGTTATTTTGCTTTAGATCATCAACAAGGTTAGTGGAAAGATTGCTTTTTCCTCACTTGTGTAGAGAGAGCCACATCCTGTCTCAGGTCTTGTGCAACTTTATGTTGGTTAAAGATAAAATGACCTCACTACAGTATCATGGCAAAGATGTGATGTTGCCTTTACTACTTAGTTTTTGTGCAAGGAGATCTGATTTATATTTAATTTTCTTAATATCATTTTGGGTTTCTCTAAAGGAAAGTAATTAGTTTGTCTGTGTGACCCACTGATTCCCTGAGGCCATATATTATTTCCATGTGTCCTCACCAGGGCATTACTTTCTTTGGAATGGCACAAAGGGTGGCCTGCACAGGATGGGGAAATGACAGAGACTCTTACAGAGCTGATGTGTTTTCTTATTGCTTTTCTTTGTGTGTTGTCATGGAGAATAGTCTGAGAGAGAAAAAGGCAGTGGTAGAATTAAAAAAAAAAGGAGAAAAAGGAGAAAAGAATATGCAATGATTAAGCAGGAGTCAGGGATTATTCATTCCTGGTGAAGCTTCCCACAAGCAGGTTGTTCAGGTTGTCTCAAATAGGCACCAAATAAGCACACCATGGCAATACGCATTCTGCTCTGTGTGATACATGCTGCAAAGATCGCTGCTTAGGGAAAGTTGTAGCTCTTGTAAACGCTGGCGGCAGGGATCTCTTCTATTACTATTTGCAGGCAGTCTAGCTTTACTCACCTTTAATTTGCCTATGAGAAGAGCCATCAAATTTTTCAAGAATGATATGAAATCGGGTTTTGTTTTCCTGAGAAGCTGGAAAGGCAAAGGAGCTACATTAGGGATGTTCATAGCGTAGCTCTGCAGCGGATCAGGTAGCTACCAGCTTTGCATAGCAACGTTGTGGCCAGCATATTAAATCATATGTCATTTTATCCAGCATTTGTCATCCAGAGGATTCAAAACCTTCCTAAAAATAGAAAAAGGTGAATGCTTTAGTTGCCACACTAGAGATGGAAAGGTTGAGGCAAGGAGGAGTCAAGTGCTTCATCCACAATCACACAACTAACCAGCCTGTCAAGGGAGAATTTACTCCAAAAACCAGACCTTCCATTTTCAATGACCTCTTTTTTTGGTCTGTGGTCTTCTGTTTTAGTTTCATTTTCTATGTGTTTATGCAGGATGAAATATATAGACTGCAAATGAGTAAATATGATTCAATTTTGTTATTTTTAAACTTCCATATATGTTGTGTGATTTTTTTTTTGTTAAGAAATATTATGAAACTCTTACAGAGGAAAAAACACATGTTTTACACTAAAATAAAAAAAAAGAAAAAAGGAAAAAATTTTTTTGCTTTTTCAGGATTTCTTAGAATGAGCTAAATGACTATCAGTCACCTGGCATGTATTTCAGTGTTTCCATGTTTGTAAATCTGGCTTATGGAGCATAATGAAGCATTAAAATGCTGGAGTTTTAACTTCAAAATGCAGAATACAATTCAGGCAAACACAGCAAAGTAGAAGCTGCCTGTGGGTGCAGAACAGGAAGCACTAGTAGACAGACACATGTAATAGAATTATGTTTGCTCTTGCTCAACTAGATGTACATCAATTTTAATTAACATATTTTATGCTTCAGCTACTAACGTCCCTTCAGCAGTGAGTGGGTTATGTGTTTCCATCCTGCATATACCACCAGCATCACCACCACGTCCTTCTCTATCTTCCCCCTCCCCTTTCTACACAAATGTTGCAACACAATCTGAAATTTCCTCTTTTCTTTCCTTCCTGCATTTCTTACAGGTTCCTTTGCGTCAGAAGGCAAAAAAGAAAAGTCAAGGTAATGAGAGATTGTTTTTTCTTTTCTCTCACGGATTCCTCTGTTATTTTCTTAGTATGTCTTATTCTTGAGAGGGTGAGGATTTTGTACTGCTACTCAGCTGGTGGAAGGCTGCTTTTTAACTCCACTGATTCTTGAACTGATTCGGAGAAAAATGACAACGGGCTGTTCCTTTGGACTAAATCCTTGTGGTATGTTAATTGAATCAAAACTGGTAATCAGTGAGCTAGAATCAGCTGCCTGCATAGAGATACACACCAGCGGTTTTCATGTACTTGGCATAATAGTTTTCTCTAGCTGACTTAAATAGATGTATTCTTTTCAGTGCAGCTGTGTGAAGGAAAATATATGCATGCTTCTCTTAAAAGGATCAAAGGATGTATTTTTAATTTACTACATCTTGTGTATCTTACAATTAATTAGTGTCTGCTTTATCTATAGCTTACTATTTTGTTTCTGAACATGCCTTTCAAAAGAATGTGTGTTACTGTCACAACCATTATAAAACTGAACGACTTCTAAGTATATTTTAAGATATGCTTGGATGATTTTCTGAGATTGCTAAGTAAGGTTGACATCTTTAATTGGCAGCAACATCTTTCCTGGTAATGTACTTTTAAGAAAGCAGAACACTGTATTTTTAATGGCACAGGATTCTTTATAATGAGCCGACGGAGGATATCGTGCAAAGAGCTGGGACAGGCCGATTGCCAAGGATGGCTCTACAAAAAGAAGGAAAAAGGAGCTTTCATTGGCAACAAATGGAAAAAGTTCTGGTGTGTGCTAAAGGAGTCATCACTGTATTGGTACAGCAGTCAGCTGGTGAGTACAGCGTCCATCCAGCTCTGGGTGCCAGACAAACAGCATCTACTGGGACTGAGACAAGGGCAGCTGTGGTTACAGTATAGATGCACCCTGGAGGAGTACAAATAATGGGGTTCGTTTCTCAGTCCTGACATTTCCTGTGATCTGGGAAGTGTATATGTGAATGTGACATATGCAGAAAACTGCTTTTTCTAGTTCAGCAAGTACTTGTGAAATGTTAACTTACTGTCTGTTCTGCCCTGTAAAAAGCTGTTCTTTGAAGTCACTAGTGGTCTTTGAATTTGGAAAAGATTTTCCTGGGTTGAGCAGTTTGCAGACACTTGCTATCAAGACTCAAAACAAGAATTCTTCTTCACTTCTGATAAATTTAATTTTCAGAAGTGTCTCCTCTGTTTTTCTCTCCATCCACTTCCACATGGAGAATATTCTGTTTATTTGTCTGATTGGTTTCTCCTTTTTCTTCTATTTTTTTCTCTTTTCCTTTCTTATTTTTTTTTCTTTTTTTCTTTCTTCTTTTTTTTTTCTTTTTTCATTTCAAGTGCTAGAGAATAGCTGGCTTTACTTCAGGCTGGTTCGATTGGGCAGAGAGGATGTCTTGCCCATTCTAGGAAGATTCAGACAGAATTATTCCCTTCTCTTTGCTCTCTTGCACTACTACCTTTAAAAAGCTCCTATCACAATCAAATGATGAAGTGACAGAGTCCAGAATTAGGGTATGCAGAGGATTAGGGGATGCCAGCAAAAACATAGGTTGAAACTCAGCAGCTTCAGTGTGGAATTGTGGATGGACATCAGGTTCCCTAAATACAAATGAGCTTCTTTGAAAATCAGCATTTCCCAGGCCCAGCAAAAGATGAAAGTTTAAAGAAACTCTTATTAATTCTTAGAGAATTTAAAAAAAATTCAAAGGCTATCTGGATTGTTTCCACTTGTTTATTTCTGTTGCAGTAATCCCCATTCAAAATCTTGCTAACTGCTTCAGGGAACAAATAAAATAGTTTAAGCCATTAAAAAAAATCCCATACCCTAAAAAAAAGCTTAACTCCTGTGCAGAGTATTCCACATTCTCCCTTTAGTTGTCAGTATAGTGTTATTGTTTTTTGTGGGGTTTTTTTAGGGTGGTTTTTTGTTTGTTTGATTGATTTATTTATTTTTTGTTTGTTTATTTTAAATCAGAATAAAAATTTTGACTGGTACTTAAAGATGGTATTAGCTATTCCTTTCTGGGGACAAGTGAAAGCAACTCTGCTGGTCTTGGGCTGTTGTTTTTTTATGATGTTGTGGTAGTCTGATATAGATTTCCTTCAAGACTAAATCAGATACATGCATGAGAGAAAGGAAAAGAATAGGAAAATTAGGAAAGAAAAAATATTTAAAAGCCCTTTTTTCCCCCAATGCGTACAATATCTTTGCTTGAAAGATATGGCCTGGTAGATATGCTTCCCAGAAGCATTAATACCTTGCAAACACTTATTAATATCAGCTGTTAGAAATCTGTGTACTTCTGGGCAAGCAGTTTTGAGAAAGGTGAGCTGGCTGGCTGATGTGTCCTTTAGACATGGGAAGTATCAGGAGTAATTCTGAGGAGTAATCAAGCTGGGAGGAAATATAAAAAGGCACAACCAGGCAAAGTTTGCCTTCTGGGAGAAGAAGGATGGTGGGGGAGAGGTGCAAAGCCCTCCACTTCCTTCGGTTGTTGTGGCCTGGTTAAATGCTGCTCTTGGGATCCAGAGAAACCATGATCATGATGGTCCCAGTGCTCTAGACAGCACTCATCCTGCAGTCCATGCCTTTCTGACTGTCACTGACTGCCCCCAAATGAACAAGTGTCAGCCTCATTCCAATTTATTTTATTTGCTCCAAAGAGCTCATATAGCTTCAAAATACTGTTGGCTTGTGTCAGTCCTGAGTTCTCACCTATCACAGCTGTTCCTTTAACATGCTAGCTGGTAGTGCCTCTTTGCTTTCAACTTCTGCCAACTCTCACATGCTATTTTGTATTGAAAACTCCAGGTTTCTTTGGACAACTTACAGTGCAGCCTCTATGTAACTAGATTCAGGCAACGTTTGCAGAATGTCAGTAACTACAGGGTTTGGAAAGGACAGAAGGTGTCCTTTGCTAAGACCTGCTTTCTTAAATTTGTGAGACCAGAGACATGCTCAGAGATCTGAGATCAATTAGACCTGATGCATTTTCACAAATGTTTTCACCTCTAAACTGATGAAGGAGAAATAGCAGTGACATATTCACTTGCTTTCTTGATATTTCTTTTAAGTCTCTGGCCTGGCAATAGTACTACCTCTCTGCCACTGTCTTCAGTAAAGTTAATCCTCAGTTCCAGTGGATCATACAAGATGGCAATCTAAAGTTTGGAGTTCTGTTGAAAGAGGAGTCCTGCTTACCACGTGTCTGAGGCTTCCTGTTATTGGCCCTCTTACAGAGGCTGAAGCAAAAGGTGGTGGTGAAAGAGTGGGGCTGAGGTTAAAGGAACCATGGCACACTGTTTGCCTGTAGCTCTGCCTGACCAGTTTTGTTCTTGTGAGAAACGAGTGTATTTTGTTTGTGGCTGTGTGAAAACCAATCACTGGTAACTGTAGCATAGCAACAGGGTGCTGGACCTATTTTTCTAATGGAGAAGAGGAAAATAGGGAGTGGGTGGAATTTGTACAGGAACGTGCATCATCCTGGATTTGGATAGATAACCTCAGCTGACATTATGTTCTTGGTGAAGTCTGTCTTCAGGTGCCTCTGAAGCTCTGGATGTTTCTGATACTCTGGTTTAATTTGCCTTCAAGCTACTCTGGTTCTGGGTCTTTCATGTGAGACAGATAGGGGTCGCGATATAGGACACTCGTGACATTTGCATGATATTTTCTTCAATTTAACATAGGATACTTTGTGAATGCCACAGCTCGAAAGAGAAAAAATAATAAAATTCTGAGACAGATCAGCAATAGCAGATCAGACACCCTGAGAGTCAAGCTTCTTCATTGAAATCAAAGTAGAGAACATATGCAAATCCGTATAAGCCTTTGACGAACTATCTGAGGTACTGCAAGCAGCGAAGTTAGGGCCCAGTGGTCTAGTTAGGCTTGGGTAGGCTGCCCTGGAATCTCTCCTCATCACCCTTCCTCTTTATAAAATATGAGGCAGGTAAATTTCTGTTTGCAGCATGGATGCACTCATAATCTCGACAGGGAAGCTGTTTGAACTAAGAGGAAACAGAAGGGTTGGCTTTGCAATGGTAACACAGAAAATGTCAGAAAATGGATCTGAGCAGTCAGACTTTCTGGGTGCATACAGGAACACTAGACTCCTTGGACAACTGCTTTTCATTAGCGTTTGATTCCTTTTTTTGAGCACTGCTGTCTGTAGGCAGCTGCCTTGAAGACAAGCGTTTAAAGAGGACAGTGTGAGATCCTGTCTAATACTTTAGCAATTTTAGTTCTCATACTGAAACCCCAGAGGGAATCAGTACTCCTATAGGAAGAGGGGGGTGGGGAGGGTGAGAATCATCACATATAAACCCAGGTTCCCAGCTCTTTGTGCTTGTTTTGACTGTGTTGGATAGTATTGGCTGGAATGGGACAAAAGACTAAATCCCTCTCTCTGGTGGGTCTTTAGGATAGCTTGACTGGTTTTCCAAGTACAGCTGAAATAGAGTTTTGCAGAATGTGTTAAAGATGGTTGTCATGGGGATTACGCTGAAAAAAAAAAGATATAAAATTAAAGGGTTGCAGGCTGTGATCTACTGTCACTATTTATCTTTGTGTTTGGTTGTGGGGTTTTTCCGATTTACTGCATTTAAATTGGTCTTCACTCTAGCAGCTTTTCTGGAAGCTGTATAATTACAATCTTTTAAAACAAAAATCTTTTACCTTTGAGTTGTAGTTGCCGCTCACATGGGCGAGAAAAAGTCATTGATGTCGGCTGATTGTGCTGAGAGCTTTGGGGACCTCTGGTCCAGTATCTTACACAAATTATTCACAGTTCTATGGGTTGCCTCATTCATGTACTTGGCAGAGAGAAAAAAGACTGAAAAGGTTTGAGGACTGAAGTGATCCTCCAACATCCTCAAGGTATTCTGTGGACAGTGCTGAAACACTGATGAAGCCATGAGGAGTACCCTGATTTGCAGACCGGAGCTGTTCCACAATAACAAGATATTTCATGTTACAGCACTATTTTTAAAAATCTTTCTGTAACATTACACTCACTTTAAATGACTTACTAAATCTCCTAGAGCCACAACATTTAGATAACATATTGAGGCAAGCTGAAAAAGACATTAGCCTCTTTCATTGGATTCATGCATTATGTTTCATAAATAAATTCTTTTTGGAGTGCAAAGCTTTTTCTGTGAAAAAATGGTCACTTTTTTTTTGCCCCAAGCATTTGCAGAGACTGTTGTTATTACTGAAATTATTTTTCTACAACTTAGTGTAGCAAAAGTACAGATTTTTGTGTTAGGCTAGCCTTCATAAAAACCACAAGAGATAAAAGCTTATTCTTTTAAACAACTTGATCAAGTAGAAAACAGGTCGAGGTTCTTTTTATCTGAGTTTTTTAGGGCTATTTTACAGCTTTGCATCAAAATCTCAAGGATGCTTGTGTGAAATGTGTGAGTCAAACAACAGCATGCTAAAGTCATGTTAAAGATAACATTTTGAAGAAAGAAAACATTTATGATTTCTATACACTTTTAATGTTTTAAAATTATTTTTTCCCCCAAGAATGACCAAAAAGATGACTTCCACATGTTCTGTTCCTACGGTTTATTTGGAATTCTATTTGCTGACTGTAATAACACTCATAAGGTTTTAATGTTGTGACTTCCTTTTTTTCCCTTCCTTTTTTTTCCCCTGATAATTATGGAACTACATACCCATCAAATTCTTCTTTTCTGTTACATAGATGGCACGTTTCAGATGTGTACAAGTAGTGCATTAAAAAGTTCACACCATTATCCTCTTCATTTATAACATGTAAGAAAGGCCAACCTGCCCCAGACCCAAGTCACCTACTCACCCACTCACTCTGATGGCTTATCCAGCTCAGGCCACACTGCTGGGCGTGTGAGAGTGTATTCCTTCACACAGGGTCTTGCTCTTAAACTGGGTTTATTGATTCATACTGCAGAGAAACAACTGGCATTGTATAAATTTTTCATCTAGCAACGCGTGCAATAGTGACTTTGATACCTCAGGGACTGTTTTTTTGAGATTGTTCTCTGGTGTTCTTAGAGTAGTCTTGGGAATGAAACAGGATTTTCAGTTTTCTTGCTGACCCAATCCAGTAAGTGACCACTCTTTCTGGTACAGAAATGCAGGTAATACATTCTCTATCTTTAGTACAATGCAGCCCATGAATAGAGCTCCTTCTTTACTCACTCCTACTCACTGGCTGATCCCTATATACTTAGTATACTATGGATCTGGAATGGTAATACTTGCTTAAGGTCTAAGTGATTGACATACACATTATGGAAAAAAAAAAGAAAGACTTTTACAAAATCTTGTCAATTATTTTTTTGTTATTTTATCTCAATGAGTTTAGTCTCATGAAATGCCAACCTGTGGAATGTAAACAAAAGCTCCTCAAGCCAGCCTCGAACTGATTTTTACAGATACAAATACAATCAGAGAGAGTTAAAAGCCCACAATAGCAAATAAGTACTTTTTTATACGAACATTGCAAAATCAAGATATTTTCAGCCCAGATGTGGAAAAACATCATTGTTTCTCCTATACCTAAAGAAAATAACGAAAAGCCCTTCCACTGCTGCTTTTTTTTCTATGTGTATATGTGTGTGTGTCGTGGAGCAGCAACTCGCAATGATGCAAAAAATATAAACCTCTCCTCTGAATGTTTAATACATGTAAATGACAGGAATGATGGTTATGCCATGGTTTATTGTATACCAAAGAACAGATATGCAGAGCTGTGGGGAAGCCACCCACTGAAATATCCATTCTGTATCTGTATTTCCGTTCTCGGAGGTTCATACTTCCAAGAATTAAAGCTCAAAGACTTGTCTTGATGAACATCTTTTTATAGTCACATCATATTTATGCATAATGAGACTTGAGATACTGTCAGTCATCTTCATTTATCCTCTGCCTTTGTAATTGTTGTGTATATTTTACCTGCTTTAGCTCAGTGTTCATTTTCAGAATCTTGATGTGCCTAGGGATAGTGGCTGGGTGCAGCAAAAATGGGATTTAGGAATGAACATTTTCTATGTCTTGGAAAGTACATTTTTTCCTGACATTACATGCTAGAGACTTTTGTCTATATTATATATTGCTCATCTTAGGAAGAGTCCTAGTCTCATTGCAGATGACCAGGTGTATGTAGATAGATGACGTAAAGGTAGATGTTTCCACTTCAGATGTTTCAGTTTCAGGCAGCAAGAACAGGAATTTGAGGCTTACTGGTCACCTCAGTTTTGTTGGAGCGACTCTCTAACAGAGGGTCCTGGTCACCTAGAACAGAGATGTCACTGCTCAGTAAACCTTCTTGCATCCAGAAAGGACTGATTGGATATAAACAGTGTACTGTAAATGTCTGCCTGGCTTTTGTTACCTCTTGTACCATGCCAGAAAATTTCGGGGGGGAGTGATAGCTGGGTGGCCAAAGCCACCTGAGGCTGGTTTACAGTGTTTAACAACAGAGCTCAGCTGTGTGGAATCATCCCCTTGCACCGTTTCACCCTGTGGGGTGGGAGTAACCTGTATTGCCTCTGCCTTGCTCATGTACAGACATATGTAGGTGATCCTGCAAAATGGTCCATGCTACAATTATGCAGGGGACACCCTCCTCTGTTTCTGCTTAGAATCATTTTGGGTCACTTTTGAATTGTATTTTTCAGCTATATATGGATCATTATATGTGGTACTGTTACACATCCGTGTAACATACATACATGCTTCATCATGGAACAAACGTTCCTTTATGATTGTATGTAACATCAAGACCTGAAAGGATGATATAACCCTTATTCATCCTTATTAATCAACAAAACCCATGCTCACACTCTGCCACTTGCACCAACAAGAGTGGTGGCTTTCTAGCATCCAGGTTTGCACAAATATAGATCACAGAGGAATATTTCTTTGGTGTTGATCTGTCCCCATGGTGATGAGCATGTATTTTTACAGTATAAAAAGCTGTCAAAAACAAGAACTTGCATGCTAAATATTATTCAGCATTGGAGTTTGCTAGCTTGCTAATTGGTTGATGTGGTGATATTTAATTTTTTTTTTGAAGGCTGAAAAAGCAGAAGGATTTATCAGACTTCCAGACTTCAGCGTGGATCGAGCAATTGAATGCAAAAAAAAGCAGTAAGTTTATCTCTTGTTCCCAGTTTTTCATGATTTTTACAACATTGCAAGGAATGAATCTCAGTAGTCTTTGACAACAAAGCTGTGGGGAGTTCTTTTGTGTTGTATAAATAATGAGATATTAATTGAGCTACTGAAAGGAAACCATATTGCAAAAATATTTTTTAAAAATCTCTGCCAGATGTGCTCTGCTAGAACTACAAATAAAAAAAAATAGATCAGTGTGCCAAATGCTTTTTTTTTCCTCCTTCTTTTCGTACAGCGATTATGAGTAAGCTTGTGGTCTGTCTCAGATAGCTCCTCTTAGTTGAGGAGGTCAGCAGTGGTGCAAGTAGTGCCACTTCCCTCCAAGCTGAGACTGTTCTTTAGGCTTCTGTGGTGCAACTGAGCTTGGGCTGTACTTGAAGCCTTTGGTTGTGCAGGGAATAAAACCTTTGTTTAGCAGGGTGCATATTTGAAAATATTGTTTCCAAACTCTCTATGCAGCACTGACTTCCAGCTGCTTCTGAGCACACTTCAAAGGTTTGGAGGGGTATTGCTGTTGTTCAAAGTTATAAAGCTCAGCATGATTTTTATTGTGTCTCCCTCAAGAGAAAGCCTTCATTCTTCTGTTCGGGTCTCATGCTGCAATTAGCTGTAGGTGTTGAGGTTAACTGTGGGCTGGACTCCTCCAAGGAAAGGGGGCAGCTATTTTGAATATGGGGCACTCCATTTTCTTTTCTCAGAGGAGAAGTTGAGTCACATAGAAGAGAACCATGAGAAAATGTCTTTCACTTCAGTGGCTGTTGGGTGGGAGGGAAATGTTCTCGTCACTTGTTTGGATAAGTTAGGAAAACCAGTACTGCTGGGTCAGCTGGGGCCCAGCCAACTATGTGTGTGTGCTTTCATGGGACAGTCACCTAATGAGGTACAGAAGAGCGAAGATACACAGTCTCAGGCTTGGACACTATGTTTTAGGTAAAAAAAGGCACTGAAAACTCTTAGTGGTGGATATTCAACTAAAGCATAGTTTGGGGCTGAGACCGACAGATTAACTATTGGAGGTAGCCAGGGCACTAACTCCATTTTGTTTGTTTAACACCTGCCATCTATTTACCTCTTTGGTCCCCCCTAAAACTTGTCTTGGAAAAGTCATTGAAGAGTCAGTCACTGTTTGCCAACTGTGTGCCACTTGTGACTTTACTGTGTCACGTGTCCCTTCCCGCAGCCATCAGTTTTCCATGCTGTGGGGTCTTAGCCTGATTAATCACTCATGGAAGCTGTTCAATGCCTTGGGTCACTGCTGGTACTTCCTCTGAACTTTTTCAGGCTTGCTTTAATTTTAGAGCTGGAGGAAGCAAAACTGCACACAGTATTTGAGGTTTGGGAATGCAACAGAATTATGTAATGAAACACTGGAAGTCTTTTTTTTTATTCTTTATTCCTTCCTTTTTAGTTCCTGTGCTTTATACTCTCTGAATAATGTGTGGCCAAGGAAGTGAGCTAAAAATAGATTAGAGTTTTAAGGTAAGAGCTATATGGATGGACAAGTTAATCTGGACTAATACAGTGGAGGGAATATATATTTTAAATAATTCATCCAGCTATTATTTTTTCTTTCTTATATAAACTAGTTTTCTTTTTATCTCTTATATTTTTCTTTTCCTAAAGTGCTATTAAGATCAGCCACCCACAGATCAAGACATTTTATTTTGCGGCAGAAAATGTTCTGGAAATGAACACGTAAGTAGGAGTAACTGGTCATGTTTCATCCTGTCTTATGCATGAGAACACCCTTTGAAAGTTCATTCTTTCACTGTCAAGTGGTTATTGACAGAGCTATTTGGGGAATTACTGAGTCTGGTTTGTTTTCTGATCGCTGAATGGAAGCAAAATGAAGAAATTTGTTCCCTTATGATACTTGAAATCAGAATCATATAATTAACACAATTTTGATACTAATCTTCCCAACATTTGCTGGTAAAATTCCTTTCGATAGAGAGGTGCTAAGATTTGATAGTAAGTTCATTACCTTGGGAGAAGTGAGGGCTTAATATAGTTTTGTCCCAGAAGTGAACCAGGACTAGAATATAACAGCGTCTGCTCTCTGAGTAGTGCGAAACTGTTGCAGTTGAACAATCCTCGTGACAGATCAGAAATTTGCTTTCCACAAATGCCCAGCAGAAGAACAACCAGATAGTTACTCTATTAATGCAAGAAGTAAAAATGGATATGAATACTGCCATTTTGGAAGCCACAGAGCTATCAGAAAGATATTATTTTATACTGGTCCAATTTTGACTGATTCAGATATATCTCATATCTTCTTTGTCTTTTTTACTTCAGATTGCAGTCTATTCACAATGCTATTGCATTAAATGGCCAAATACTGGACACAAAGTGGTACAATTTAAATAGGAAGGGAGATCCTATGGTAGTCAGCTCAGGATTTTAATCATGGCTCTGCTGGTCATCTTTGTGAGATTCTTCATAGGTCATTGACTATTCTTTCCCTCTATAAATAGGAGACCTCATGCATATTTACTACAATAGAAAAGGAGAGAGTTTGAGAGAATGAGTGTGACCTCCTGAAAGGCCTATAGATTCAGAAATGTACAATACTACAGTAGTGTACGTGCATAGATATAAATAAATCCGTACTCTATAGATGTATGCAGGTTAATATAGAAGGAAAGAATGCATTGCCCTTTGAAACTTGGAGAAGCATGGAGCATTCTGGTGGGGAGATAACCATCCATTTCCGTATTCCTACATTTCCTATCAGAGCTCCTGAATGGAGTGACAGTTCTTGAGGCAGATAGGGTGAGGATGACTGAGAATGAGGGACTGCTGGACAGGAGTCTTTCTATAGAGAGAGTAACCCTGGTTGAGAGCTAAGAGATGGAAGGATGTTTGGAGAAGGAAAATTAGAGCTAACGGAGGACATTAGTGAGTGTTAACAGCCAGTTTGTAGCCCAGCTGGAAATTCTCATGTGAGACATGTTTAGTCTCATGGGAGTCAGTGATTGAAACCTACACAGGTGTCCCAGCTCTTATGCCCCCAGAATGATTTTCTTCAAACTCCACTTTTTGTGTAAATTTCATTTTGGCTTAGAACTATTTCACCTAGTGTTAAAGCAGCTTGCACTATGCTGCACTAATTTCTCACTGTTGCAGCTGATGATGTTTTCCTTTGCAAAGTATAAAATACATGCATTTAATACATAAAGTACACACATACTCACGCATATGTCAAAACAGACTAAAAGACGTCTGTTCTCTTGGCTCCAGTCCTGCAAATACATATGTGAGTGGCTCCACTGAACTCACTGGAGCATTTGTGTGTGTTGAGTTACTGGCATGCGTCAATGCTTGATGGATCGTGACCTTTTGTAACTCTTCATGCATGTATCTATATGTGCATATACCTACATGTATATCTATTAAATCAACAGTGGATTTATTAATACAATCATTTGCTTCATTAATTTAGCATATACTTGCTATTGTCATGCACACATGAAAAGTAAAGGCATGCTGACTAGCTGCATGCATTTAGCTGGCCAGTTGTACATAGTTATTAGTGACTTCTCTTCCGTTGTCATTAATGAAGTCCTAGAATTTTTTTAGCAAATCTTTTCTTGGTTAAGATGGGTTTTCATTTAAAAAATCATTCTGTTATGATTAGCAGTCAGAAAAGAGTCAATAAACCACTCTTACAGAAATGACTTTTTTTGAATTGTTATGTGGCTCTATTGTTCATACTGCAGCCTAAAGCTGTAGTTACTTTGATCTTGCTAGCAAATTTCCTATAGCTTTATTAGAACCAAGATAAAACAAAATGGGTTTGGGTTTCCCCCCCACCCAGTAATGAATTTTAATTCCTGTCCCTCATACATTCCCTGTTCAGGCTTGAGTTTTAATCTGAAAGGCTTGAGCTTTTTCAGCCGTTAGTTTCTTAAAACCTGGATAGATCTGAATGATATACAGACAAACACAATACACAAAAAGTATATCTAGGGGATGTTTCTAGCTCTAGAAAAATGCAGCCACCTAAAAAGAGAAATTAAAAAAAAACATTACTAGTAGCTTAAAGCAACACAGGAAGTAAGACTTACTAAACCTGAAAGGACATAGGAAGTTGAAGAACAGAATATTATGGTCAAAAAGTCTGGTTTTAAATGACTCAGATTCTTAGATGGTGCTGCAATAGTTTTGGCCAGGCCATCTGACATCATCTTCTACGGCTCCCATGCCTTTGCTTCATCTGAGATGAAAGGTGACACCTCAATTGCTGGACTAAATCACTGACATGGTGATATAGCACAAATACTTTTCCTTTAGCTTCCACAAATGCAACTCCTTGGTCATCAGTAGTGCTTTTTTTCCAGGATCAGGTAAAGAAGATGCCCAAGGCAATTAATCCTGCTCACCACAGGGAATATTAGTATTCAGGTAACTGGTGTCTTTCTAGAAGAGGATCTAAGAAATAGAAAATTTGACATTTAGTCTTCAGACTAATGAAAATAGATGTGGTGATGTAGAACACAACTGAAAGGAGCAAAACTCTGTCTGAGGAGCATGCAAGTACCCCTGACTATATTCCCTCTGTTTCAAACACAGGTGGCTAAGTAAGCTGGGGATGGCTGTAGACCCTCAGGCACCAAACGGGAAGAATGAGGAAGGTATGCTCCTAACTGGTTTCAGTGTGTAACTACATTATGTTCTTCACAGTTTTTGTTTGACCAAATTTTTGTCAGCTATTTTCTTTCTTTTAAACTGTCATCTTGAGTCTGTCTGCTGTCTGAGCTCAGAGAAACCGCAGTGACCTGGCACAAAGTAATCACAGAAAAAGAAAAAAATGGTGAGAAACAGTGTGACTGAGGGAGACACTGTGATCTTGTGAGAAGTGTATAACTACTTTCTGGCAGTTTGCTGTCTTGCTAAGCCTACCAAGTGTGAAGAGAAACAGCTGTGCTGCTCTGGGTTTTGAGCTGGTGACTTATATTACAGGACCTGTGCAACAGCATAGGAGCTTGTAGGCTTGGGAACAACTTGTGCACTGTAGACTCATCCCTAATGTCTCGTCCATTCCTGGACGTTTCAACAAGATCAATGTAGGGGAACAAGGGGATGGTAGCACTATTCTGAAGCCTACAATTTCCTTCAGAGCCAGGCCCGGGAGTTCATCAGGAAATGAGTAACTTTAAAAGTTCCCAAGAAATTTATTAACTGTCTTAATTTGCACATTGGCCTAATAGAACTCTCTGATGGGAGTATACCTGTGTTCAAATCACAAATCTGGGCAGAGGACAAAGCAAGTCACCTGTCAGGGCAGTTGGAAAAGCTGCTCATGGGGACACATGTGCTGGGAGTGGATTTAGAAAGAGAAGTGTTTTGGGTAGTATTATGTTACCAAACCAGGGATGGACTCTAACATGAGGAATATGTGTCATCATTTGGGCTTTTGACCCTCCGTTTTTAGAGTATTGATGCTCAATGCCCTTTTTAGAACTGTTCAGGTTGTGAAGGACCTGTCATTATGAAGAAAAAGCTGTTTTTTGCAGTAGTATGAACACTTAGGTAATGCAGCCTGTTTTGTCTAAGCACTGAAATGTTCCTCTTTACGTCCCTTCTGCTTTTTCCAAGAACTCAAGATTGTGGTTTATGCCCATGCTTGGGACATGTAATTCCATTATTGATTAGTTTGATCTGGCTTTGTTTATACTCTGGCTCCATTTATACTGTACCATTAAAGGAGCTTTGGAGCTGGTAAACACAGATACCACTGATTCAGCATGTCTCATCAATTTATTTTTTTTCAGTTCACGGTTGTTTCTTGTCAGGAAACTTGTTAATTCCCACACTGTCTAATTCCTCTTAAATGCCTGTGTCCTCTTTGAGCCCAGTTTTGTATCAAATCAGTTTAGGATAAAGGGCTATATTCAGTATTAGGCCGTGTAGCAAGAACTGCAAGGTAATTGTACTCAGTGAGGAAGTGTGCAAATATGTTGTCCATGTTTTCACAAAGGAAGGGTTTGATGGAAAATGAGGATGGCCAAAATTTTATACATGAAAACAATTTTTTTTAAGATTCAAAAATTGTAGTATTTGTTGTATTGGCTGAATTGAGAATAATAAAACAATATAAAATTAGTCAGTCCACTAATCTTAATTAAAAAAATATGACCAAAAGATACAAAATAACCCACTCAATAACCTCTGCAGCTAGTTGTTTGATTACCCTTCAATAACATAACATAACATAGCCAAGATTTCTTCAGCTTTTAAAGCTAGTGGCCCATCTACCCTTCAGAAAAAAGCCTTCTGGTTCTGGTGTCAAACACCTCCTTGTCTTTTCATGCATTTTTTGTCATAGGTGATCAAGCAGCTGTCTTGAGTGTGGGTGCAGCACCCACTGATGTGCCTGGGTGGATGTGCCCTTGCAGAGGCATTGCTGTGCTTCAGAAAAACGCTGTCAGTACCCACAGTCACTTCTGTTCCTGCTGATCTGGTTTTCCCCTCTGTATCACAGCCCATAATTGTTCAGAAGTCTTGTTGCTTGTTATGACATTTCTTGTGTATTCATGTACTTTTTATGCATTTTAACACCACCACCCCAACCTCTTTTGCTTATTTAGAGTATCAGAAACATCTGTTGATTCTTTTTGGGGTCTCCTATGTGCCTAAAAGGGGAGCCGTAGAAACAATAAGCTTTTTACTAGGAGTTACTCAAAAAGGCATTAATAGAGTCTTAGAATTTGATATAGCCCTTACTGCAGCCAGTCTCAGTTCTTTATGCTTAGATGTGCCAGCACATATTTCCAGTAAACAGAATAGCAGCTATGCTATTCAAAATCCCTATAGTTCTGCAAACAGTATAGGGAGAAAAGGTAATTAGTCTCTTTGCTATCAATGTTAGAAAGTTCTCTCTCATGTATAAAATTCTTCTCTCTTACAATTTTATTCCCCTCACTTTGTGCTTATTAAAACCCCTAAATGACATTCATAAAAATAAAGTGAGTGGGTATTAATTTAACTACAAGATGAGCTCATCACAGGTGATTGCCCAGAGACCGTGCTAATACACTTCTTTCTAGTAGTGTGAACCCCTGAAGCACAGCTCTGACAAAGTACTCCCAGAACATAAGCAATCTCTGCCCCCTGTGGCAAACAGCTGGACAGTTGCTGTTAGCTGCTCCTGGACAGCAGAAGCTGCTGCTGGCAAAGGGAGGGAGTGGCAGTGCAGAGTGCTGGATCCTGGGGAGACCGCAAGGGCAGCCTCTGTTTGGTGACCCTCGGCGCTCACTCATGTTGTCCTCATTAAGCTCCGGCTTTGTCTTGGCAAACTCTGCTGTCCCCAGCTCAGTCAGGTGGGGATGGGTGCAGTCACTCTGCTAAATCTCCCAGCACGTGTGCAACCTTTACAGGAGCAAATGCTGACACCACATGCGCAAAGGAAACCCATCTTTGCAGCCTTTCAGTACTTAAAGGGAGCCTGTAAGAAAGATGGGGACAAACTTTTTGGTGGGGCCTTTTGCAACAGGACGGAGGTAATGGTTTTAAACTAAAAAGGGGTCAATTTAGCCTAGATATAAAGAAGTAATTTTTCACAGTGGCAAAAAGCTGAGACAGGTTGCCCAAAGAGATGGTAGATGCCCAATTCTTGGAAACATTCAAGGTCAGGCTGGATGGGGCTCTAAGCAACTTGATCTAGTTGAAGATATCCCTGCTCATTGCAAGGTGGTTGGACTGTAGGATCTTTAAAAGTCCCTCCCAACTCAAACTATTCTATGATTCTATGATCTTGCCCAGAGTTTACAGGCAGGTCCTGGGAATAGGAACCAGCAACATATTGCCTCCATTTTTCTGTGTCTTATCAATGATTATCACTTCATTTAATCCACTTTAAAAAAAAATGGAGAAAATGTTTTCACCTGCTACACAGATAGGTGAAGGAAATAACAGCATGACTGCCTCTGCTACATATCAAGAGATATACTGAGTTTCAGTTGGTTTTTTGTTGAAAAACAAAACAAAAAAAGGGAGATAAAAAAAGATAAACGAGTTGTATAGCCCTGCAGTATTTTGTTTTTACCTCTGCACATGTACTGCCATGCCGTATTTCATACCTATGTGGGTTACTGTGTGATGACAAAAGACAAGGCTGCTCTGTGGTTTCCAAAGCATGATGGGAGCAGTCTGTTTGCTACAAAATTGCAGCCAAAACCCTAATACCTGTTGCTAGCTCCAGGAAAACTTACTGGTTACAAAGATTAAGGAACTGCCTCTGCTACTTGCAACAGCTCTCCCTAACTTCTACTATAAATGAAACTCTTAATTTAAACACTGCAAAGAGAGGAAAAAACCCCACCCCAAACCTACTTGTGAAGCTATCTAGAGCAGTGTTTCCTATCATAGCAAATTAACTCTTTTTTTTTAATTAAAAAAAAAATTTAAAAATGTATTGCCATTAAGTAATGTAGCGTTACCACAACTGGGTTAGGAGACACTGACTTGTTAAAGTGTGGTCCTCAGTCCAGAATATCCTGCTTGGTGATCTTTGGTTACCACAGCATTGTGAGGAATAAATGTTTTGATCTAACTCTTTTGCTCATTTTCCATGTCTGCCTCAGAATGTTACAGCGAAAGCGAACACGATGATCCAGAAATAACGGACACGCCACCTCCCCCCTACACAGTCCAGCCCTCACCTCCTCCCTTGGTAAGTGTTCCAGTAATTAGCCTGTTTCTTGTTGCAAGCCAGTTGAAACAAAATTCTCTTGAGGTGGTGCACTTTTAAGAATAACCTACAACAGTGTCTGGAAATGTTCATCCTGTGTGCCTGTGAAATGTGGATGCACTGACTGCCCCTGTCCTATGGCAGAGCACACAGTTATCACATCCTGCACTGTAGGGAGCTTCACACTGTAAGAGATCAGCTCCTTCCAATGCAGGCATATTTGTCTTGCTGGAGAAAGGAAGGTGTCTACCTCATACACACACTTTATATTTTCTTTACCAGATTTTCAACACACTGCTATAAGCTACTTTTTCATAATATTCTCTTTTTTTCTTTTAAATCCACCCTAAAATTTCTTTCTTTTTGTGCCCCTGGTAGCATCATCCAACAGCTTTGTATTTATTTATTTGAGTGAGCTCTTTCTAAGACTGCTGAATTTGAAGCTGCTTCTGTGGCAGTGAAGAGAAGTGAAGGGAAAGAGGCCTCTTCTAACAGCGATAAAATCTGTTCTTTACCTCTGAAAAATAGACTATGAAAAAAGAAAATAGGCATCCTTCCAAAATCTATGCATTTTTTCTTTCTAAGTGTAGCATATTTGCCCAGAATATTCCTTCCTGTCTCATTTAATTTCATAAATTAGAAAAAGCACTATGCAGCCTCGTGTCTAATCAAATTGACTCACCTAATTATTAGCCACATATTGTCCTATTCATCTTGTTTCTATATCATCGCTTTTCCCAGTGATCTCAGCTCTCTTATATGTGCTTTAAAATGGGAGATTTACTTAATTCTTTGTCTAGAAATCTGGTTTGGGGTGGTAATGCAGCCCAAATAAGGAATCCTGAGTTCAAGCCTTTTCCTTCACTAGCTGAAAGTTAACATCGAGAGGTGTGCAGTAATATACTAAAGAGTCTTCTTGCATCTCAAGGAGGGGAAGTGTCTGCTGCCTCACTGGTATGGTCCAGGTTCCTACATGGCACAGAGGCGATGAAGCAGTAGCAAATCTGAAATACACAGATGAGCTAGAGAAACTTGTGTGATGATAGGCATTAATAAAAGGAGATGTCATACACAGGGTTGCCTGTCTGACAATCTTTGATTAGCTCACATAAAGCTGGGAATGTATGTCACACTGTCACCCACTTACCCCCCTCTGTTTCAGTCAGATAAGTCAGTCTTCACTTCCTCTCTTGAAACAGTTGTGTAATGTTTATCACTGTAAAACAACCTGTCTAGCACTTGTGGGGTGCAGGGTGTTCACTACTGTGTAGAACGTGATTCTTTATGGCCTGTATTAACTAGACATTAAATGTGGCTGAGTGGCTATAAATATCAGAGAAAATAAGAACTCTGGCGTTATGTCTCCAACAGTTATTCTGGGCCAAGGGTTAATAATAAAGCATTTTGAATTTTATATCTCAGTGTTTTGCTTTTAAGAGACTGTAGATGTTTTTTCCGTCTGCTCGCCTCTGAGTGAATGCTCGCATTTTTCCAGATGATGAGTTTTAAACAGGTGTTGTTTTTTAGTTTTCCATTTTTCTGGCTTCCTGCTCCTTGTTGGTCTGTTGCTGAAGGGGTGATCTCCGGTTGTCTCCTTCCCATATGCTCCTCTTGAGTGCTGGCCTTCACATTTTAGCAGGGGACACGCAAATTGTGCAGGCAATTGTGCAAATGCTGAGGGGTCCTGTTTTCTCAAGCTTTCCCTTAAAGATTATCTTCTCTCAAGCCTTTACCTTTCCCAGCTGATGTCCCTTCTTATCCCCAGCTTAAAATCCCTTTCCCTGTGGACAAAGGTTAGTGTCTCCTGAGCAAAGTTGTCATCTTTTCACCCCAGAACTGGCCACTGGAACAAGCTCCAGTTGCTGTGGGTCTGCCGTGTGTTCAGCTTGCTTACAGAGTGAGTAGGAACAGCTGGGTACCAATGCAGTTGTGTTTGACTGCAAGTCAGTGTCTTCTTTTAAATGCCCGATTTAATGTCCCTTTCACTTCTGGACAAGTGCTGGAGCAAGGAAACCATTGGGAGGATTGGGAAGGCACAGCTTCTATGAGGAAGTCAATTCCAGAAGTGGAGCCCATGATTACCTCAGTGAAGGCTGGTTAAATATTGCTTGTTGCATGTTTATTTGTTGCAGAATTCTTGAACTAAGCTGTGAGGTCCCAAACATGGTAATGTGGTGGATTTGGGTTGATACTCTGTGGGTACAGTACAGTTGTACTCTGTACAACTTTTGGTTGGCCTGGTTTAATCTTCTCAAATTGCAACTGGAAGTGAAACTCAGCCCAGCATCAAGAATGCCAGAGGCATTGACTAAAGTTAATTTATTTTTATTATTATTTTTTTTAATTGCACCTCTGCCTCCTGAGTGCAAAACCATTTTGCAAAATAGGAATTAGGAGGCCTGGACATTTTGGAAAATCAAACAAATGTTGTCTTACACAGAAAGGCCTCCAAACTTCTTGAAATCAACTCCAAACTGAAAATTATTAATCTGGAAACTAATAGACACTCAGGAGGAGGCTCTGTTACATTTTAGAGCAGCAAACATTTTGCTGTACTTCTAGCATACAGTTTATACTGGCTGTTCTATTCTCTGCTGACTCAAACCATTTTGAAACTTGAAAAAAGTAGTAATCATGAGCTTTCCATGTTCATCCATACTTTTGTGTACTGTGGAAGAAAAAAGCAAGTGAGGAACAAGTAAATTTTAACATCTGTAGGACAAAAGTTAAACTGACCACCTGCATTAATTTGTCCATGTGTGAATGGATTTACAGTTCAAAAATCAGCAGATATGTTGAGACAATAGATTGCAGCAATCCCCAAAAAGCAGTTAAGTCATAATTTTTCTCTAAAAAACATCTAGAGACTCACTGATCTCCAGTGGAATGCTTATGATCTGCTTTTTAAAATATCCCCAAATGGATATTTATTTTTATATGGATGGTTGCAAAAATTCCAAAGGAACCACTCCAATAAGTTAAGTAAACATTTGTCATGCCAAAGAAAAAAACAAAACACAACACATATGTAGAGAAAAAGAAACACCTTCTGGCAGTCATTTATTCTCACCCACATTTTTCATTTAACACACAATGAAAATGAAAACAAAAATATATTCCATTCTGTGTAGCACAGTTTTAATTTCAATAGCCTTTTTTTTGCATGGAAAAATGCCAGAAAAATAGAGGTGATATCCAACATCTTCCTTTCCTGGCTTTGAACAGTTGAAATTAGACCATTCACACCATATAAGCAAGAGCCTTTACCGTTCAGTTGATCTACTTGACTTTACAAATACTTCAAAAAATTTGTCTTTGTGATAGGTGCTCTTAGATGAAATTCTTAACGTCACCTGTGTTCCCTGTGAGTGTTTTTAGCACTCACCCGTATAGTTTGTGATGGCTTCTGTCTGTCCTTTGCTTTAGGATGCATATGTTAAGGTTTCCATTTTAAAAACAAAAATGCACCAGAAACACAATGTTGTACTTCTCATAAGAGGAACATAAATGTCTGAGTCCTGCCATGTTTGGGAAAGTCTTGGAGGAATTGTGAAAGAATTAGAGAACTTAAGACTTCTGCAGAACAGCCGAAGGCTGGGGTTGTTTACCCTGAAGAAGGCTCAGGGGGAACCTCATCGCTCTCTACAACTACGTGAAAGGAGGTTATACTGAGGTGGGGCCCTGTTTCTTCTACGGCACCTGCAGTGAGAGGACTAGATGAAATGACCTTAAAGTGAGACAGGGGAGAATTCAGATTAAATGCTAGAAAATTTTTTTTCACTGTTAGAGTGGTCAGGCATTGGAATAGGTTGCCCAGGGAGGTGCGGAGTCACAATCCCTGGAAGTGCAAGAGGCACCTGGATCTGGCACTGGGTTATGTGGTTTAGGGATTGCAGTGGTAGTGCTGGGTTGGTAGTTGGACTGGAAGATCTTAAAGGTCTCCTTCAACCTTGATGATTCTATTATACTATGAATGGCCTTGAAAATTTACAAAAGTGAAGAAACTGTTATAAACAAATGGTACCCGCAATCTGATACTGGTCTTCCTCATCTTCTGAATTGAGTAGTAGTTATATGATACAGCTGTGTTAGAAACACAGGAAGGCAAATCTACTTTGTTGTTTTTAATGTAAAAAGGAAGTATACATTACGGTATACAACACTGAATTGCAGAACTTTATATATCATGATCAAAAAAATTGTCGCTCTTGGTTTGGTTTATTTGAATAAATCTTAAATTTGGTTTACCAGGTCATAAATAGGTATTCCTGACTGCTCCCTTTATTGTGTTTGCAACTTGTCCAGGTTTCCCTAGCAACATCTTCTCAGTGATTTCCCATACTTTGTCTAGTTATCATCTGTTTTACTCCTTGCACAGATCTATTCTACATATATATTGAGAACATAAACTTGCCAGAATTGTGGTCTATCAAGTCTGGTATTCTGATACTAGCATTGGCCAGTAGCAGATGACTTGCAGAAGGACTAAATTTCTGCAGTAGCAAGAAATCTGGCTTTCATATCATGATGATATCATCACAATTTCTGATAGTTTCTGCTAAGAGCTTCACTATAAGGCTTTGTCTTTCCTCCTCTTCCATTACTTTATTTATCACTGTCAGTTGATTCTGTTCTGGGTATTTGTGTGTATATTTGTGGGTATTATATGTATTACTTGTGTATTTGACTCTCTTAGCTGGTCTCTTCAGTGGTGTTTGGTGGGGAAGAAGTAGCCTAGTGATAGTTCTTCCTGTGTGAGTTGTTTTTGATGACCAGATAATAGTACAAATCAATCAATGTAAACTTCTAGTGTAGACAAAGACCTGGGTGCCTAATCACTTGACTGGGAAGCTAAATACTTCTCAAAACTTTGTTCTTTGTCTCAACCTTCCTTTAAATGGAATTTCAACTCCTAACTAACAATGATGACTGTTAGATGTCTCTGAGACCTCTCTGGTTGTATGTGTTTCTGTTAAGGCAGGGTAAGTAGGGGCCTATTGAGTATTGAGGGCCTTAGGATGTCTTAATGATTTCTGATGTGTTTCTTGTGAAGTTTGGATCCTTTTCCAGATCATGTGCTGAAGGGTGAATCTTAGCAGGTGAACAAGCAAACACAAATCTTGTACAGTTCCCCATTTCCTACCCTTTGTCCCATAACTATCTGTTTTTTCTTTCCATCATTAATTTGCCATCATACTACCTATCAGCCTTCTTGCCTTGGTGAATGATTATCCCTTGAACGGACCAGGTAAAATACATTTTTACTGTACTTCAGTGTACTTCAGTGCTTGGTACCAGTAATCTATGCTTGTTGCATTGGTGGAATTATTGAATGCTTCAAGAAAACTTCATGTTCAATGGCTAATTTGGAGTTTCACTTCTGCACTCTTGGTTAGACCAGTAAAGTGAACACAAATTAAAGAGTGAAGGCGAGTGTGAGACTAGCATGGAAGGCTACATTCAACACAAGATTTTTCCTTGGTCTTTCATTTCTAGACATTGTCAGGTTTGTATCTCTTTTGCCTCTGACCTTCTTGGGGCTTAGTGGCTGAAGCTACTGCCCTGTAGGAGATTGGCTGCCATAGCTCAGGCTCGTTTGAATGGATAATTAATCAGATTACATCAATTTTTGGTCATTTAACATTTCAGCTGTATACCTATAACATGTAGAACCTAAGGAAAAGAATGACTTGTAAATATTTTTTCTTTTTTCTTCCCCCTCTGCTTTTTTTTTCTGGAAAGCAGGATCAGCAGAAGTCATCTTTCACCTCAACTCTGTCAAGTGAAGCATCTTGTTCTCTCTCCTCTCCTGAAAGCACTTTCAACTCACAAGAGTCATCATCTTCCTTGGCATCCAAAGTGGTTTATTCCGAGAGGCAGTCCTGGCTTGACCTAGTTAACAGCTCTGCCACAGAAGAGGGTGATCAGCCTTTAACTTTCTGCGTACAGATTCATTCTGACGAGCTGCCAGAAGTAGTCTGTGGAGAAGCAGCAGAAAGCCAGGAAGTCCAGCTTTCCCAACCCAACAATGGATCCCAGAACTCTTACTTAAGTGCAGATGCACATTGTCTAGCAGTGCCAGATGCAACAGGACAGAGATCACTAGCCAAAGGTGAGCTAATGAGAGATGAGGTTTTTGCTGCAGTCGAACAATATGAGAGTTCAGGGGGTTCCTCAACTTCCTTTTCCCTTCTTTCCTTTATGTTCTTCACTGAAGAGTTTTCCAGTGGCACATCATTTTTAACAAACATTTAGTTAGTTGCATATTAAATATATAACCTAGTATCTAGTTGGTAGGTATTTTTACAACTTTTCTCAAATTTTACCTGTATGTTAGATTATAGCTCCTGTATATAAATCTAACAGAGATATGGTTTTATTAACTGTCTTTATTTCAATGCAGATGTCTTTTATTCATTAGGATTGAATCAAAATGTTGAGAAAGTGTGTCACAGAACAGACACTCTAAGCAAAATGGAGCATGTGGTTAGGTCAATCTAATTTTAAAAATAAAAGCAGTTGTATTTACTTGAAGTACATACTCCCTATTCGTTTCATTAAGCTTCATTGTAATCAAGAGAAAACAACTGCAATCCTGAATCAGAAAGTCCATTAGACTGGATTTTGTCTAAGCAAATAGGTTTCTGCACAGATATCCTCCTACTGAAATGAAATGAAATGAAAAAGTTGGCATAGTTCCAGAATTTTGTCATTGTTACTGTTCATAACTCTCCTGTGTAGCAAGGCAATCTCCTGCCTTTTGAGCAAAGCTTCTTCATTCTGCATTAAAAGCCGTTGAAGTCTAAGCAGTGTTCATGGTATACAATTAGTCTGCTTATAGAGGTAGTACATAAGGAAGAAACAACATTCTTGTGCATCGTCTCTTCCCATGATTCCAAATCCTTGTAAGGACTTCAGATGAGTACTTTGTTGCTGAAAGAGCAGGGTTGCTTCAGCATAAAGCAAAACAAAGATGTATCTAAAAGCTTAGGCTGAAGGCAATGCAAAGGTGGAAAGAAACAGCACTGGAGTCGTTGGGAACTCAGGGTATTTCTCTGTAGGTGAACATAACACTGTTTGAAAAATGATAGTATAGGCCACATTAGTTGTGTAGTCAGTCTCCCTATTGTTTTATATATATATCAACAGCTAGAACTCCTTATTTTGTCATTTGTTTTTCTGATTTTACAAAAAAAGAAAAAAGAAATTGAGCAAAGTATAGCTTTTAACAAAAATGAAAATTAACTCAGTGTTTTGTGCTCAGCTTCATTATCTGCCTTCTAGGGTGCTCTGCTAGAAAATTCAGTATCAGTGAAGATCAGCAGGAATTAAAACCCAGAGTGAGCATATGTCCTATTTCTCTGTGGTGGAAAAGAGTACTATGCTTTGAGAGAGTTATTGGGGAATCCAATTCCCCTCTGGCTTTGCAAGTTGTGAAAAGGCTGGGGCTAGCACAAAAGGGTTCCCTAATGAAAATGTCACAAAAACATAGTAAATACATTTTTTTTTTTTAATTTTACCTTCTGGGTTAAATTTGACAAAGTAATGCCTTGGAAAACATTATTAGGGACATTCATGTAGATTGTTGTAATGAAGGTCACATGTGGCATAGTGGCTTTAGATCCTGTTGAGCAAGATTCAGTGGTGGCCCTTCAGAAATCTAAACTTTTGTTTAGAATATGCTACTCTGGTATTGTCAGCAATCCTACAACAATGTGTAGGTTAATGCTTTCCATCATAACTGTAAGTGGTTAGGGTGCAGGACTCTCACCGCTGCGACCCGGGTTCGATTCCCAGCCCCCCGGGCAGATGGAGCTCGTTAGCCCTGTGAGGTAATCCATCTAAGAGAAGGTCACTCTAAACAAACCTACATCCTGAGACCCTCACTGCCACTGTCCAAGCGTGCTTGGCCCCGGCAGATGAACCTCAGGATTAAAGGGTGGGCTCAGTTCAGCGCAAGCTGTGTCTCACCTAAAAAATCCACTGCGCAGGCTCGAAGGGTTAATGACCTTTCCCAAAATCTTCGCTCGCGAAGACTGGCCATTACTTACTTATTACATAACTGTAAGGGTAACTTTTTCCAGGTAATTGTGAGGTACTTTTATGGATGGTCATAGAATTAGTATGGCACATTCATAATCATTTGAAGTATAGTTTAATAGGCTTAATGATTCTACCCAATAAAAATGGGATTAAATGTAAATCAAGGTACATTTTGGTATATTTCTGCAGTTGGTGGTTTAATTTTCCTAAGATTTTTCCTGGGGAAATGAATTCTTCTGTTGCTCACTGCTTAGCTGATGGGCAACCCTGATGGCAGAACACAGAACTATCCTAACCACACTGTTGATTGCTGGCAGAATTCCAGAAATAGATAATTTCACTGAGACAGTCACTATGGAAACTGAATAATCTCACTAGTTATTGTCTGCATCATAACCCATTGTTGAGCAAGTAAGATGTACACCATACACAGGTTTTTCTTTCCTTTATCAGTCTGCATATTATGGGGAGGGTATGGAGACTGTTGGTGCATGGAGACCACCCCTGCAATGGCCACTGAAAAAATTTAGGAAAGAATTTGCAAGGAGGTTAAGCTACTTCTCTTTGAGAATGAGGTAGAATAAAAAGGATTAATGTAAAATAGCAATTCAGTTCCAAATGATAGTTATCAAAAATGATACAATTCTGGTTCTAAGGCTTACCCCCCAAACTCCAGCTAGTTGATAAGGATGTACACAAATACTGTGAGATGAATTCAAGTCGTGGTGTAAAATGTAGCTGCAAAGTCTCATGCTTTACAAAAACTGGTGAGAACACACTTGTTATCTGGTGTGAAACAAGAAGACATACCTCAGTGCAGTCCATACTATTTGCTTTACAGACTGTCTGAACAGTGCATTTCTGACATGTTTCAGAGTAATGAGACAGCATTCAGGAGGAGACAAGTCTGTTTTCTGGCAGCATTTGTCCAGAAATTACTGGTTCCCTGTGTGTAAAGATGGCCCTGCTGTCATTGAAACAGCTGTGTGGTCCTTAATCCCACTCCCCACAGAACCTAGAGGTGTGTCCATACTCTCTCCTTCTCCTTGTGAAGATTAAAATAATCTGTCACACACTCTGCTTTCTGGCCACATTCTACATGGTAAAACACCATGAGGAGTTTTTGGTTGTAGCTGATGAGAACTTAGAGCTGAGGGGCAAGTTTTCAAGAACTGAAGAGCACTTTTGTTGGCCAAAGTCAGAAAAGGAGTCCAACGTAAGAAAAATTGGTACCTAGAAGGAAGAAAGAGTAGCCGTGGTTTTATGGGTAGAGCTTACCATGAAAAAGTACAAAAATGGTGAAGAAACTTTAGTGATGAGTTACACAATGAAAAGGTTTTCAGAGATAGATAGATGAAACTCTGTAAGAGAAGCCTCAGATTCAACTAAATGATAATGGGTTATTTTTTCAACGAAAATTATTTTATGAACTCTGCTAAGCAGCTGTGGGTGTCTGGTGCAAGGAGCTGTAACGTATGATATTTTTAACAAACTTTCCAGCCACTCTCAGTGGTGTTATGAACATTCTCAGGCTTAGCTCTCAGCATCAATTACTGGGGAGACTTTTCATACTAGAGAGTAATATACAGGTACAAAGAAGGGTAGTTGATCGGTTTTCTCTTTTGAAAGGTGATCAGCATTATGGTTCTATTTACTTTTTGGGAATATTTAATATTTTGGTGTTGAGGCTTGCTACATGCACAGTGACAAAGGATTCTAAGCTGCCGATGACACAAAGAAACTGAAAGATAAACAAGAAAGAGTTGAGAATACAAACAACTATCTGACTGCCTATGGGCTCTGTATCCAAAAGCTAGCCTTGCTCCCTCTGGGATGGCTAGGCTATCCTTTGTATTTCTTCTGGCAGTCACCAGAACGAAAAGTATCTAAGAGCTGCCACCATTATCATCAAAAAATGTGATAATGAAAGGAAGCCACAGGAACCAGAAGGTTACTGTAAGATAATAGGAAGGTTGCTTTGTATTTATTCAGGAATCTACTACTATAGCAATAAGAACTCTTCTTCCTTGCATTTTATGTGGGTTTTATGATCATATCGAGTTAATACATCTTGGCAAGGAATTCTTATTTTACCACTTCTGGTTTATTTACCTTAGCTCACAGCAGCTGATAGAAGATCTAGTGTGTGCCGATATTTTCAGAAACCTGGACAACTTTACAAATACCACTTGAATTTTGTCTGGATTGGTTTTGTGGGAAGGAGTGGGTTAAATAGGAGCTGGATGCATTCAATTCCTTCTGTTCTCAGAACTGACATCCTCTTCCCCTCTGGAGTCTGCCTGTGCCAATAATAGCCAGAACAGACCCTCTGGTGTGCTCTAGCCCTTTTTTTCCTTCTGCAAAAGTTAGAGAAAATGGCTAGATCTAGAAAATGGCTGAGACTAGTCAAGTGGTATGCCTATGGTGAGAACAACTGAGTAGAGAAACAACTGTGTTTGAATAATTATTTTGTTTCTCATCAAAAAAGGTTTAGAAATAACAGTGAAAACTTTGTGCTGCAGTTTTCTGAACTCTGAAAAAGAGATACTTATTTGTTTTGTTTCCAGTTCAGTCCATTTATTAAAATTCTATACCTCACTTCTGAGTCCACTATACTGTTATAGACAAGAGCAGCTAACTGTTGGTGGTAATGTACTTTTCCTGTTATTTTCTTCCAGTCTCTCCTATCTTTAGTTCTGCATTTGCCAGTGAGGAGTTTGCCTAATCTATGCTCACCTAATTAAAATTTTTCCTGTATTTTCTGTTTCATAGTTATGCGGGAAATGTGATTTCCCTGAGGTGACATCATATTCCTATTCAAAAGGGGGTGGGTAGGTAGGTAGGTAAGAGCAAAAGTGGTTTATGATTTTTTTCCTCTGCTCTCCTCAGCTGGGTTGTGTGTTGTTCCATTGGCATAAAAAAATTTGACAGAATCAGAAATAGAGGTGCTGGCAGAGCTACAAGAAACTCATAAGAGTAGCTAGGAGAGGAGGAAGAAGCAGATTTTTTTTTCCCTGGGATTAATACACAACTGGGGATCTGTGAGATCTCAGTTACAGAATAGGAGAA